CTTTGCCAAAGGTGGCTCAAAAATGTCTTCCCTTGTCTGTCTATCCTAACGATATCCCTTCCCGACTTTTCAACCCACCTACTATGCCCCAGTACAGCTGCCGTCCTTTCCTCTCTATTCCATGCCTCAAACATCTCCCTGTACGTTCCATCTACACTTCCCTCTCCTTCTTGTACAACGGACATTCCGCGACCACATAAACACGGTCTTCGCATTCGAAGCCGCAATCACATTTGAACTCGTCGGCTTCGTCGTCTACCGTCCTTCGTCTTTGTAGACGTTCTCGAAGACCTGTGTCCCCGGTCTTGAATTTGACCTTGAGCTTTGTTCCTGCATCCATTGGTCCATGTAGGTAGACTTATCCTTGAACCCTATTCCTTCCTTCAACATTCCGTACACTTCTAGACCNTGCCCCAGTACAGCTACCGTCCTTTCCTCTCTATTCCATGCCTCAAACATCTCCCTGTACGTTCCATCTACACTTCCCTCTCCTTCCACGTACACTTCCCTCTCCTTCTTGTACAACGGACATTCCGCGACTACATGAACACGGTCTTCGCATTCGAAGCCGCAATCACATTTGAACTCGTCGGCTTCGTCGTCTACCGTCCTTCGTCTTTGTAGACGTTCTCGAAGACCTGTGTCCCCGGTCTTGAATTTGACCTTGAGCTTTGTTCCTGCATCCATTGGTCCATGTAGGTAGACTTATCCTTGAACCCTATTCCTTCCTTCAACATTCCGTACACTTCTAGACCTCTGTCATCTTCTTCAGCACTCTCCACATTTTCCCCTTGATCCCGTATTTGGACAGTTGTTTCCACAACCCATTTCTCCATGCGGTCTCGTATGCCTGTTTCACGTCCACGAAGGAGCAGTACGTCGGCTTTCCCGCCCTCTTTCTACCTTGGATGATTCTCCCTACCGTGAACACGTGGTCTACGCACCCCCTCTTCTTGCGGAAACCTGCCTGGCCCTCACTAATGCTATGTTCCTTCTCCAATACTCCCACTATCCTATCGTTCAGCAGCTTACAGAACACTTTTCCTACT